AATGAGCACAATGTACTAGCTCTACAGTCACTGGTTTATCCAGTTCAGGAACAGTAGGAGACACAGATATGTAACACACACTACTGATCAGATGTGTGCCTCCAGGGAACTCAAAATCTCCTCCCCATAGACCTTGAGCAGCAGCTTCATAGACAGTGCTATCCACTGGAGAGAAGAGTCCATCAGGTAGAGAGAGGCTAAGACCACATTCATCCAACTGTAACTCATGACTACTGTTGGCATTATACAGACACACCTTCTTACCCAATGTTACCATACCATCAAATGGTAATTCTATACAATGCAGATTATTAATACTTAAACAATAGACTACACTAACCTGCTTTAGTCCAGTAGTCACATTGAATACTCTTAGTATCAGTTGAAATATCTTTCAATGACTGCAACTCTTCCTTCAGTTGTAATTTTTCTTTTGTCAGTTTAGCAACTACCAGTTCATCGTCAAAAACTTTAGCTTTAAGTTTCTCATTCTCTTCTACACAAAAAATTTAAAAAGGTATTCTTATACAGTAATACTATGATAGTTTTACCATTAGTTAAAGTTTTCTCCTCCGTCAGTGTGGCTATATAAGTTTCGCTATCAACAACTTTAGCTTTAAGTTTCTCAATCTCTTCTAAACAAAATAAATAATAACATATTACCATATAAGGATATACCTTGACTGGTTGTTTGTTTAGTTTCTGTTGTCTGCTCCTCCTCCTTTTCCTCTCCTTTAAGATCATCATTATCTTTATAAACTAGTAAACACACACACACATCAAACAAGTCTCTAACTATTACTGTGTGTGTCTATATACTTACCATCAGTTGGTCCAGTAGACACTTCCTCTTTAGTTGAAGATAGTTTAGTTTCTTTCACTCCTTCTACTCTTGTCTTGTCTAGTGGTATAGGTTCAATAACTACTGACACACACACACAGTAGAGGACTATACCTTGCTGACTAGCCTCAAGGAGTGCTTCCTGCAGTGAGGTCTTGTTTCCCTCAGATACTCTTAACTTCTGCTGCAACGATTCCACATAATTTTGCAGTTTTACTTCTCTCTCTGTAGGGTATACTATAAACTGATCTTGCCACCATTGTCTCTTTTTTAATAATAACTGATACTTGTCTTGATAGGCCTCAGTAGTCAGACCAGTAGAATCTAGTACTTCACTTACTCTCCATTTACCTTCCCTTAAAACTAATGCAAACATGAAGGAGGAATAATTCATGTATGTACATGTACATGTAAACATGATGTAATGCTGTTACTAATAATAGAACACAATACATGTAGCATTAGAGGGTAAAATACTATATAAATGTTATGCATTAATTGTTGTTTTATTGACAAATTACAAACCAGAAAATACATTTTAAGGGATAATTGCTAAAATAAAGTCCCGGCCAAATGGCACCAATATACTGCACTATACACACAACATGCTAATTTGGTTATGTCAACTATTATTGCAGTTCATTATAACAATAATAATTCCCTCATGCTATGTTATGGAATTACAGAAATGATGTAGTAAAACCTGAACTTAAGTTGTATCTCCAATAAATCCCTCTATACAGTACATACAATACAAAAATAGTTCAGTTCTTACCTAGTTCTATTAACATTGTGATATTAGGATCAGTGATAAAGTCAGAAAATGGTTCCTTATATCCTCTTCCTACATTTTTCCATTTATTTGTTCCTCTCCCACCCACTACCACCAACCACACACAGTCTGGACTCATCATTATTGATGATAAGGAATGGGCCCATCTACCAGTAACAGATTCAGGTAGAACAATCTGTTGAAATAATACATGTATGGTAATATTTTATCATGTAAACAGTATTTACAATATGTTACAAATATTCAAGGGAATATACATGCATTATGTACATGTACTGTACATGCACACAGCGAGTATTTCTAAGGTATTAATACAATATAATACATTAACATGACAACTACTGTACAATCACTGTATCACACACATGTACACTCTAAACTAATAACATTATACACATACTTTACTCCACTGGTACTGATTAGTATTCAGTAACCAACTATCATTTACTAGTTGATCATTTTGATCCTCCCCACCTATTATTACTAGTGTAGGTGAGTCACTGATGATACTAGTAATAGCATGATAACGTCTCCCCACAGGCCACTGTACACTAGCAGGTACTACTGGTCCCTTAACACTCTCCCAGTGCTAGATAAAATGAATTAATCAATATTATAAAATGTATTAATGCATGTACACTGTTCTATTATACTTAAGAGTTTTTCCATTTAATTATAAAATAATTATGCTAATAATAGTGATAATTGTATAAAATAAATTATTAAATCAAATCTACATGTAATACTCATTTAAGTACATTTTTCAAATTACAAGCTATACCAGTATGTACATGTATTAATGACTAAACATGATTGATCCATGCAATAAATATATCCCATACAGTAATGTTAAGACAACTTACTAATGTAGTATCAGACTCCAGTTGACATGTATAGACTGTATTAACCATTATATCTCTCCTACCATCATCACTAGGCACTGATCCACCAAACATGACAGCTTTATTATTAGCAATCTTTTGAATAGCAAAGGCAACAGTAGGAGGACAACACTGACCACTAATAGTTGGAATAATCCATTGTCCCTAATAGAAATAGATAGTATAATTAGAATTATTAATTATT